GGTTCAGGGGTGGGGGGGTGGGGGTATGGAGCTGAGGAGGCAGGGATGAGGGGTACGGAGCTGGGGATGCAGTCTGCAAGAGTACAGGGCTGCGGGGTGCAGGGGTATGGAGCTGAGGAGGCAGGGATGAGGGGTACGGAGCTGGGGATGCAGTCTGCAAGAGTACAGGGCTGCGGGGTGCAGGGGTATGGAGCTGAGGAGGCAGGGATGAGGGGTACGGAGCTGGGGATGCAGTCTGCAAGAGTACAGGGCTGCGGGGTGCAGGGGTATGGAGCTGAGGAGGCAGGGATGCGGGAGTGCAGAGCTTGGGATGCAGGAATGTGGGGGAAGCAGGCTAGGGATATGGGGGTTTAGGGCTGGGGATGCGGGCTGCAAGCATGTAGGGCAACAGGATGCAGAGATGTGGATCTGGGGATGCAGGCTGTGAGAGTCCAGAACAGAAAGATGCAGGAATATATGATTGGAGATGTGGGCTGCAGGGTAACAGGGTATTGGGGTGTGGAGTTACAGGGCTTGGAACGTACTCTGCAGGGGTATGAAGCATTGGGATGCAGGGATACGGGGCTGGGGATGTGAGTTGCAGGGCAGCAGAAGGCAGGGATAGGGGGCTTAGAATGTGGGTTGCAGGGGTATGGGGTGTTGGGATGCAGGGATATCAGGGTGGGAGCACAGGACAAAGGGGTACGGGGCATTGGGATGTGTGCTGCAAGGCTACAGGACTGCGGGATGCAGGCTGCAAGGATATGGGGCTGCAGGAGCTGGGCTACAAGGATGGGGTGCTGTGGGATGCAGGGATAGGGTGCTGTGGGATACGGGACTGAGAGATGTAGCAGAGTGGGGTTCTAGGTTAGAGGGCTGTGGGATGTGAGCTGTAGGGATATGGGAACAAGGGATGCCAGCTGCAGGGATACAGGGCTGCGGGGCTGTGGGATATGTTATCAGAGGATGTGGGGGAATGTGGGGCTGAGGGTTGTGGGATGTGGGGATGCAGAGCTACATGTACTCAAGAGGCAGGGAAACAGGGCTGAGGGATGCAGAGAGACAGGGCTGTGGGACACGCAGCTGTGGGATGCAGGATATGGGAATACAGGTCTGCAGGATGCGGGATACACAGCCATAGGATGCGGGATGTGGGAACACGGGAAGCAGGATATGGGTAGATGGAGTTGCAGGATGCGGGACTACGGGAAGCAGGATATGGCCAGACAGGGCAGCAGGATGCGGAGACAGGGAGCTGCGGGGTGCAGGGACATGGGATTCAGGATACAGGGCTGCGGGGTGCGGGGACATGGGATTCAGGATACAGGGCTGCGGGGTGCGGGGACATGGGATTCAGGATACAGGGCTGCAGGGTGTGGTGTTTGGGGATGGGTGATTTGTGCTGCAGAGGAGTGGGGCTGTGGATACGGGATGCGGGGAAGAGGGAACACTGGGACCAGGCTGTGCTCAGGGGCAGCAGAACTCCCTGTCCTGCAGAGGGGTTCCTGCAGCCCCACGAGGCTTTTCACCCCCATTGTCCTCCTGTGCTGAAGCACCCAGCAGTGCATGAGCCCACTGCTAGGACAGCCCTGCTGGGGCTCCCACCCCCCAGCCCTTCCTTGTGCAGCACCAGGACCCCACTCAGGTGCTGAACTGGCCAAGGGAGCCCTTCCCGCCCCATGGGTGCCCTCTCCTTGGGCCAGCCAGCACCAGGTGGCCAAGCCAGTGTCACAGAGCTTTGTTTTCCCCTTCCAGGCCAGTCGTGGAAAGCGCTGAGCGCCAGCGACAAACGTCCCTTCGTGGAAGAGGCAGAGCGGCTGCGAATCCAGCATCTCCAGGATCACCCCAACTACAAGTACCGCCCAAGGAGAAAGAAGCAAGCCAAGAAAATCAAGAGGATGGAACCCAATATCCTCCTGCATAACCTTTCCCAGCCTTGCAGTGACAACTTCAGCATGAGTCACCATGGCGGCAGCCAGCCGGGCCACCCCCAGCCTCCCCCACTTAACCACTTCAGAGAACTCCACTCCATGGGGTCGGATATTGAAAACTATGGCTTGCCAACTCCTGAGATGTCTCCCTTGGATGTCTTGGAACAGACCGAGCCGGCGTTTTTCCCTCCGCACATGCAGGATGACTGCAACATGATGCCCTTTCGTGGCTACCACCACCATCACCAGATGGAGTTTCCCCAGGAGAAGTGCATGGGGCGGGACGTGGCAGTGCCCTATGCGCAGACCCCCTCTCACTTGGCCGATGCCATGAGGACTCCCCACCCCTCCAGCATATACTACAACCAGATGTGCTCGGGAACTCAGAACGGGCTTTCAGCTCACCTGGGCCAGCTCTCCCCCCCGCCCGAAGCCCACCACATGGAGAGCGTGGATCACTTGAACCAAACCGAGCTGTGGACAGACGTTGACCGCAACGAGTTTGACCAATATTTGAACATGAGCAGGACTCGTCCCGACGCCTCGGGACTCCCTTATCATGTCTCCCTGTCCAAAGTGACTCCTAGAAGCATCTCCTGCGAGGAGAGCAGCTTGATATCCGCCTTGTCCGATGCCAGCAGCGCCGTTTACTATAGCCCCTGCATCACCGGTTAGGTTGGCCCCGATGCTCCCACCGGGAGAGCCTCGACTCTCCTCTAAAAAAACAAAAACCCATCCTCCTTTAACCACGAGCTCCATAATATTTAGAGTATCTCATTAAATGCATCGCTTCCTTTTGAATTTCTTTTTGTTTGTGTTGGGTTTTTGGTGTTGTTGTGTTTTTCTTTTAGAGAACAGACATGCTGAACTCACTGATATACCATATAACTATATACCACAGATAGACGCCCTTTCCCACTGCCCGCCGTGCTCCCCGCTCCAGCCTTCCATAGCTGTAGCTCCCACCAGCTCCAAGGGACATTTTTAAGCTGATTCCAGTAAATCCTGCCTGAAACAACCAGCACCAGGACGAGGCGAAGAGACCTGCCCCCTCCCCCTCCCCCCAATATTTAACCCAAGGGCAGGAGAACTTGTGGGAGGGGAGAGAAACTTTTAGGAAGAGTTTTCCGGGGCTGTTGAAGAGTCGGCGCCCATTAGGGGTGGGCTTTAGGACAGTTTTTACTGTATTCTCAGCAATATATTTTAATTGGGCAACAAAACTATATTTTTACTAAGCATTTTTATATATAAAATGGTATTTAATGTCTTTTGTCGTTTGTTTTTGTTTGTTGTTGGTTTTTTATTAGACTTTAAAAAAATAAATCAAGGGATATCCATGAGATCTAAAGCATTTATGTAGCAAAGCTGGATTTAAAAACAAAAAAAAAAAGGGAGGGGGAGGAGGTAAAGAAGGTGTTTTGTGAAAAGGGAATGACAATGTAAATATTATGGAACAATTGACTGGAATTTTGTACAAAAGAAAAATATGACTGCAAACACTTTTATTGTCTAGAACTGTATGGAGAGCAAACTGTTTTATACTGGTTAATTATTAAAACGTCTTCATATAATTGTTCCCATCTTGTGTGCTTGTTGTGTGAACACATATTTTCCGCAAATACATGTTGTCCCAACCATTTCCAGATTTTTGTATCCGTTGATTAATGTTTTGACAACCTGGCAGATGTATTAATTTCCAGGCTGCCGCCCGCCCGCCTCGGCAGCCGCCTGGGCTTGGGCTCCGCGCAGGTCGGTGGCTCCAGCAGCTCTGGTGTCTCCAGCACTGGGATGGGATGGCCATGGCCACCCCATGGCACCTTGCTGTGCCACCCAGAGGTGCCTTCTGCAGGACAAGCAGCTGTTCTCAGATTCAAATAAAAGGTGTGATCTCCTCCTCCGAAACCGGCCTCGGTGTGGTTATTATTTTACCAGCCCATCGGTGCGTGGTTCCCTCACGGCTCACCCTGTTTTCCCGTGAAACACCCCAAAAAATAGAGCCTGGTTGTTTCAACACTTTTGCTCTTGGAGCTGGAAGGCAAACCCATGTGCCGGAGCCCTTCCACCTCCTGCTTCCCAGCTCCGGCAGCCGGCGGGTCTTGCCGATCCACGGCTGTGCCCGGCCGGATCCCGCCCGGAGCCGCCGGTGCTTTGCCAGAGTCTCATCCCCCTCCTGTGAATCCCTTTATGATTTACAGTATTTTTGTGTTCCGTTTGAAAAGAAGAAAGACCAAGCTGTTGCATAAAACCCCAATGGCATCCGTTCCTTGAACGCCGAGTGATTTAAACCAGGCTGATATCCCCAAAAAAGGCTACTTAAAAAAAAAATAAATTAAAAAAATAATAATTTTGAATAGAAGAAGGGGGTTTTTGCTGTTGTTGTTGGCAAAGAATTGCCTTTTAGGGGAAATGGATATTTAACAAATGACATTAATTTTCAAGCTTCTCCTAAATTAAATTCACATTAGTGTTAACAGGACGAAATCTTGACTCACTTTTTTTTTTTATTAATTTTTTTTGGTGCTGTTTAATGTGAAGTGCTAATAAACAGGACCACTCTGGGGGCTGGCAACACGTTCCCATTAAACGCCAGGAAGGCGCTTCATTGTCTTTCCATATACAGTATGTAAAAAGGGGGAATACATGGAAAAATGACCTCACTACCTACACGGGAGGGCTGGCGGGCGCCCGGCGGGGGCCAGAACCCGCCGCAGCAAACAAACAGAAAACCAAATGAGAAGCATCCTGTGCCTGGGCTGCTGATGACTATGAAAGGAAGCAGCCGGCTATAGGCTCCATCCCTGGAGCGGCCTGGGAGGAAGGAGATGGGGAGGTTGGGGGAAGAAAGCCCTGACTTATTATTTTCCAGCCCCCCGGTACCTTCCAGGCGAGGATGCGATCACTTCCCACCCTTCCAAGAAGCCACGCGCGCACACCAGCCCTCGCCCCGCCGTCCCGTGGTGCCGGGAGATGCCGGCGGTGGATCACATCACAGAGGAAACGTTAGGTCATTTTTCAGGCAGCAGAAATTCCCTTCTTCCCCCACAGCTCCAGCCACGCCAGCTCGCCTCCGATCTCAGGACGTGGTTAGCAATCCTTGGGGTGGCTCTTTTTGGCTTCCCTTCTTCACTCTGGAGCAGTTTGAATCCGGTGTGCCCCGTTTTCTGGTGCTTGTCTGCATGGGTGGTGTGGCTGGGCAGAGCAGGAGCTTTCCCAAACCACCTGTGCTGCAAACTCTTGTAAATAGAACTCCACTGTGGGCAGTGGGGGTCTCCTCACTTCATCCCCAACAATGCTGCCACAGGTACCGTGGGTACCCAGACTGGCAACCACGGCATGATGATGGTCACTCCCACCCATAAATGCACCAGGGACACATCGTGTTGCAACGATGCACCAAGTGATGCTGGGGGGATCTGCAGGGACCTGCCATGCCCACCTGTCCCCGGGATCAGGTTGCCACCAAGACCCAGCATCAGATTCTGGCTTCCCAGGTCCCCATCACACTAAGCCTGCCTGGTGTTTGCCACTGCCTGATTTCTACACAAAAGCAGGCAGGGCCCTGCCAGCCCCCTGCCCCACTCAGCCATGGGTGTTTTAATTAATATTAAAACCTAATTGCAACCAAGGCCCCAGACCATGCACAGCTACCCTGTCTGTCTGATCAGCCCTAGCCCAGGTTGCAGGGAAATGAGAAAGAAAGAAAAGGAGAAAGGAAGAAAACACACGCCAGAGCCCAGGGATGCAGCCTCCTCCTATCCCTCCATGTTTCACAAGGAGTTTTTCACCTTAACTTAATGTTTTGATGTTAAATTAATCAATAAGTATCCTACAGTGGAGCTGTTCCTCCCACCCAGCCTCCCAGCAAGCAGTGTGTGGCTGGCAGAGCTGGCAAGCACCTTCCCATGGGATCAGAGCTGCAGCCTCACACTTTTAGCCATGGCCAAGGCAGGATTTGTCCCTCCCCAGAGCCAGGGTTTGGCTGGGCTGGTCCAGCTCCGTCAGGAGAGCAGGGAACTAAGGAGACCCTGCAAGGGACTCTGGCTCCTCAACGAGCTTTAACCACACTACTAATTAGCTGCCTTCAATTTGATGCTAAATCCTCTATATTCCAGTTTCACTTGGCTTTGGCTATGTGGCCACCTGGGTTTGCTCAGTTTAGCATTAGTTAATGCAAAACACAGGTCAGCTAACCCAGCTGGGGGTGGGGTGGGATGGGATGGGACGGGATGGGACGGGAGCTCAGCTGTCCATCCACCCAGCCAGGACACATCCTGCACTGCTTGGGCACCAGCAGCAGGCAGGGATTCCAGCCCTGTGGGCTGCCAGAGCCTTTTAATTCCCAGCTGCCCCCCCTTCCCTTCCCCCAGCCCCGGATGGGGGCCAGGAAACCATCCATCCACCCAGCAGTGTTTTATTTCGCTGCGTGCCGGTGGCTCAGGTGTGACGCGGGGCTGGAAACGGAGGGGGCTGGAATAGTTTGGGGATGATTTCACTGCCGTTATGGCTCAGGCCGGGGCTGTTACCACGCAGCCCCTTCTGATTTTTATGACTTAATCTCTCCAAAGCTCAGGGCCTGATGGGTTTGGACTGGGGAGGAGGAGTGAGGGGCTCTTAGCAGGTCGTTACAGCAGAAATATGGAGAAGGTATTTGACAGGTATATGTAAATCCTGACAGATCCATCCTGCCGGCTTTCCTGGGATGGCTGCAGGAGCAGGGAGAGGGGGAGGCACCACCGGGACCTGCCTGGGGGTGTGGGGCTGTGGATCCCTCCCAGTCTGGCTACCCCACACACTGGGGCTGCTTCTGCAGAGATCCCCACACGTCGTGACACGTGTGAGTGCCACCAGCCAGGGGACAGTGTATGCACCACACACCCCTGCCCTGTCCTTCCCCTGCCACCTGCCAGGGCTGTCGCTGAGCTGGACACCAGGGAGAGGGTCAGGGTGGCGTGAGGAGTGCGTGTGTGTGTGTGCATCCATGTGTGTGCATCTGTGTGCAAACGTGTATTTGTGTGTGCATCATGTGTGCATTTGCAAGCATGTGTGCCTCGGTGGGTATGTGCTTCCGTGTGTGCACACACTCATGTGTGTGCCTCCCTGGGCAGCCACATGCACACATCTGAGTATCCATGTGTGTGTGCACGTGTGTATGTGTCTCCATGCATCCTTGGGTGCATCTGTGTGCATGCACGAGTGTGTGTGTGTGTGCGTGTCCCTGTGCACACGCGTGTGCGCATGTAGCCAAGTGCGCATATCCACATGCATACCCATGCACGTGTGTGTGCTGCTGCTGCTTCACTGCTCAGGTTTATGGACATTCTGGGGTTTTTATGGCGTTACAAAGTGCTTGATGACATCACCCACATATTAAGGCAGCATGTGCCAGCCCAGCCGTGTGCAGCTCCGGGCTAGTTGCTCCCAAGGCTGGAGCTGTCGTGGCCCAGAGCACACAGGAGGGGACACTGACATTTGGACATGTGGCCTTGATGAAGTCATCCCAGCTGGGATGTTATGGGTGATTTGAGCTTCTGGGTCCATCTATTTTGGGTGCTTAGGACCACATGTCCCAGTCATGGGGACAACAGTGGGAAGGGGAAGATGCTGCTGGTGCTGGTCCCCTCCCCACGGCATCAGGTAGCTGCTCCACAGCCATTGATGGCATTTATCCTTTTTTTTCCCCTCTTCCACTAAAAAAAAAAAAACAACAATAAAAGAAAGGAAAAAAAAAAAAGAAAAAAAAAAAGAAAGAAAAAAGATTTATCAAAACCAAACCTGTATATGGGAAACGGCT